TCGCGTGTCTGACCCTGAGAGAGAAAGAGAGAGAGTTGCGGCGAACGATAAGAGGCAACAACCGGGGCAAGTTAATCGGGGCCAATGGGATAGCGCAAGAGAGGAAAACGCGAGGAAAGGAAAGGAAAGGGAAGGAAAAGAGTCAAGGCGAGGCTGGCGAGAGTCCGGTTGCATTACAAAGTAATTTCGAGTACAGCAATCGCGGGAATTTAGCTGGACAAACGTTATCGTATCGTTAATAATCGAGTATATATAAGTTGAACGAACTCGAAGCAACGGGCCAGCATACAGAGGCACACATTCGCTGAAAAACCGTACAGATAACCGCAATTTTTACGCGTCAGCTCATTAACTGTATACGTGGCTCGCGGTCAGGTTCCTGAAAGCGGGAACGTGTTTCTGCAATTTCATTATACCCGTCATCCAACATGATGGATACCTCTCTCGGCCGTTTCTAACGATCGTACGTCGTGTTCTTTCAGAAAAAAAAAAGACGAAATTTTTTTGTCTATTTTTTAGGCAAGGGTAATTCGCCACGATGTGTTAACGAGTTTGCCCGATCGACGTGCGCTTCATTTCAGCCCGCGAAACTTCCCGACGGATTCCGGGATCGTTAGCATTTCAATTGACTCGTGTTTCAATCAGTCGATTAAAGCACGTTTCCGAAGCCGATATCGGCGTCCCGGTTTTGGCAAAGTGAAAAGATCGAGTCGAACGAGGCCTGATATCCCTCGAAAAGATCGAATATTCATCCGGTTAACACCTTGACATACAATGACATCATGCGTTTCCTAAGGACTATTAAATTATTCATTTGTTCTTTCATCATTCCTTTTTTTTTTTTTTTTATTAATTTTGTTTATAAGCATTGTGTTTACGACATTTTACGGCAATATGTAAATATAATAAGAGTAGAAAAGTTATCTCTGTTAAGCTTACAACACAAATGTTAAAATGAAAGATAAGTATCATCTTTTGGTCATATCGAATTAATTTAATTCATGTATCAAAGGGTTAACACATTATTGATCGACATTTTCTTTCTCTTTTTTTTTTTTGTAGGAACTGACTTAGCGATTTCTTCTAAAAGTGACAGAAGAAAGAATCCGCGTATGATTAAGTAGAAACAACTTTATTATCACGTAATGTATTTATTTGAAATGCTTTGTGCATATGTTATCAAATTTATTTTAATATTTTTTAAGAGAGTGATAGGCCGTATAGCAAGAAACTATATTAATAACATAGTTAATATTGTTAATATTGTTAGATTATTAATTGTATAAAGAAACTTTCACATATCACTATTAGTAACGTCAGTCCATTTTAAAGTGTTATCATAATTTTTATATGACTTGTCAGTCTGTCGATGGCGCAGGTTCGTTTGCGAAGCAAGCAAGTCGAGAAAGTCGTTTCCAAAAATTAATTTTGCTACTTCATTAAAAACTTCATTTGTCGGTGATTACATTCAATGGTCACACCAGGCACTTTTGTAAAGTTTTCTAAAGTCTCGTAAACTGTTGCTTTCAATCCAGTCATCTGTGGAAAGACAAGAATTTTCTTCACAGTCACTGTCAATCACAAAGGTGATTTTCTGCCTTTTTGTTGGTCCGAATCAGAACTATATTCAGAAAAATTATCATCTTCCTGAATCGCTGTAGAATAGATATCGCTTGGACAGTCGGATCAATTATCATCGCAAAATTTAGCAAGGGAAATTCTCCTTCGACTCGCTCTTTCCACAAACTGAGAACTTTCACACTCGAATATTCAAATATCGCTTGGCCACGAATCAAACTGCACAATAGCCAGTCAATTATCAGAAGACGTCAGAAACTCGTCGAGGTGTCGTCCTTGCACTCGAGAATAATTTATCGATATAATCGATTGTTGCAGGCGTTGGGAAAGCGGTGAGCGATCTCTGAAGGAAAGACAAAGGGAGGAGCATTCGGAGGAGAAGAAAAATGCCTCTACCGAAGCGACTGGTGGAGCCGGTGCTCGTCGCGCGCGGCACCATCCCCGAGAATTTCCCTCTGCCCTCGGAGCTAGAGGCTGTAACGAACGGCACATTGGCCAACACGATCAGGCAACTGTCCAGCCTGTCCAGGCATGCCGAGGATCTGTTTGGCGAACTTGCGAGGGAGGCTCATGGACTGAGCGACAGGGCCAACTCCTTGCAGGCCAGGATAGACCGATTAGCTGTGAAAGTTACTCAGCTTGACAGCAACGTCGAGGAAGGTTCGTCGATCAGCCGATTAATCGTGTGATTCAATTAAGCATGAACTAGAAAAAAAAAAAAAAAAACGTATATTTCGTTCAGAAATTGCGAGTGCTTGTACATATTACCAGCATCAGAGTGTCTACTAACTCTCGTTATACCGAATGAAGTTTTTCTTTTTCACCTCGTAATTATTGTTATTTACGCTGGTTACAGTTTCACTGCAGGACATACACATGAGGAAGGCGTTCAAGAGTTCGGTGGTGTTCGACCAGCAAGTTGTTTCCAGGGACACCATGCCAACGGCGATGCTGGAAACTTATCATCAATGCGACACACCACCACCTCTTGACAAACTCAATGTTTACAGGTATTTCGCTCTCTTCCTTTTGCCACGAGCTGATCTCTTGCTCGAGAGAGGAGGGGTTAATTTTACGCGACGAAATGAAGAGATAAAATGTCATTAATTAATAAAATTAATTACAGGGAAGACGGCAAGGACGGACTAAAATTTTATACAGATCCGAATTATTTCTTCGATCTGTGGAGTCAGGAGATGCTGAAGGATACGGAAAAGAAATTGCACGATCGAGGGAAAAAGGTAAAGAGAACTTTGTTTCTCTCCTTCGTTTTACACACACACATATATATATATATATATATACGTGCACCTCGATTTTCTTCTTCGTTTTCTTTTTTTCTTTTTTTTCTTTTTGTATTTACTGAACATATATAACACGCAAGCCCGTGTATATAATACACGTGACTAGCTAAAAGACAGCTTTTCGAGGTGCGCAGTAACACGAATACAATTAGTTATATATTTTTTTTTTCTACTTGTACATTATGAATATATATACGTACGATTCTAACGATTGAAAATGTCCCCTTCGTTATAGACCGAGTCTGAATATGCCGAACCGTTCAGAGAGGCAAGTCGATGGTTTGGATCTTTGTAGTTTTTTTTATTACCCTTACCCAGTTCTAATGAATTTATCGATCGCCAACCGCTCACTCATACATAATCAAAACTCACTTCTTTGTGGATTTTCATTAACCGAACCTTTTTGCGCTGATAGAGATGCTCGCTTTGAAAGTTTGTAGTTTACATTGCTAGGATTAGCCAACGACATCAAACCAAACACATTCTTCAATGTTTCCTTGGCAAAGGATCTTTTTATTGCGTAGACCGAATGATGCGTTTGTTTCTCTTTCCTTTTCCTTTTCTTTTTTTCTAGATTCTGAGACGAGAACTTTCGTTCGAATGTTTCCTTCTTTTTTTTCTTGAAACAATCTTGCCCTTCCTTTTACCGTGAAAAGTTTGTGAAAGACGACGTTCGATCTACGCAGAAGAACCACCCTTGACCGACACCCCTGTTTTTTGTAAAACAAATTGTTTTTCAAACTCGAATAGTTTGTCATCACTACTATGTCATTTTTGTCGATCACTTTTGTAATGCCAGTTTGTGCCAGCCATGCAACTTTTGGATGTACTCAATAGCAGTCTCTTCATCATCATTCATCGAGCCATTTTGCAAACATCGATATCGATAATGTCTCACGATCTCTGACCATTTCAGGATTATTTTTGTATTGTTGATCTGTCATGTTTCACGTTGTGGGAAATAAAACTGTGGAAACACGTTAGCAAGCACTTCGTTAAACCTTCAGTTTCGTTTGTTCAATCCTTTTTCTTGCAAGTTGCGAATAAACGTAAGGACGTCCTTTACATTTCATATTTATATTACAACAGTTGAGAAAATCACTATTTTTATTTCCTACAAGTCCTTTCATGCCCAGTGGTTGATCCTGTTTCTTTCTCTCGAAAATTTGCAACGAACAAACGGAGCCAACACGCGAAGGCATCTAAGTGGAAGATCAAAAGTATCTTCTATCATTTGTAAGCGTACAGATGAAACAAACATTGGATCAACCATCGAGTCATATTTGATTGATAAAAGTTAAGCTTGTCTTGCACTACTTTTTGCTACCACTTTCACAGACAAGACAGTCGTTTAATGAAGAATTTTTTACCGCACAGCCTCATAGGCCTCGGAACGAGGGTGGTGGTGGTGGCGGTGGCAGGCATAAGAAGCGTATAAGACAACCGCACAACACGAGAGAAAGGCAACGACAGTTGGCCGTCGGTCACGGCGAGTATATCATGCCAACGCAAGGTGTTCAATACAGAGCACCTCACAATATACCGGATGAATCGTTATTGGGAATGGTGATGACCGAGCCACGGCCACCTAGGCCAAATAGCATCGAACTTAGACGAAGTTATCCACCGGAGGAGCAACATCTCTACAGTCCTCCTTCTTCCGACCATTACAGGTTGGTAATTTATAAATTAATTGGCAGTACTCGTTCGATGAATAACGATATTTTAATATTAGGCAACAAGCATCATGCGGGAAGAAATGAATAATGTTTGGTCCTTTCTATTTCCTTTGAAAACAGGGTGGCGAACTACGTGGCTCAAGGTTACGAAGACAACTTGTACGGCTCGCATTATGGCGCAGGTCAGGGACAAGTAGGCAGCGAAACGTACCAGAGCCCTGGTGGTCAAAGTACTCCAAGTAGAAGCGGTAGATCACGACCGTCGCAGCCACCACCAGCTCCACCAAGCAACACTTCTAGCAATTCGACGCCTACTGTCGCCTCTGCTAACAATACTCCAACACGAGGAAGATCAATGAGCACCGGTAGAGACACTCTTCCACCACCACCTCCGCCTCCTGGAGAAACTATGTCCCCTCCTCCTATGAATGGTAATTCATATGTTAAGAGACTGTGCTACTGAATTCTCAAGCTGATCAAATGAAAAATTTATTGAGCAACGATTATCGATCAACGACAGCGTAATTACTCCAATTTTCCTTTTTCAGGTTCAATACCGTCGCATCTACTAAATAGGAACGGAAGCCGTTCGAATAGTCCTCTACCCAGTCATCACTCGACGCCTACTCCGCCGAATCATTCAACGCAAATAGGAACAGACGAGACCGATCCTGCTCCACAAGACTTGCCGCCTCCACCTCCGACTCCCGATCCTACACCGCCTAGACCCATTTCTCCACCGTGTAATATTCCACCACCGCCTCCACCACCTCCGCCACCGCCTGTTGCTAACGGGCCGTCGCCCCCTGTGCCATTGACCAATGGCGATATTGCTAAAATGATAGCGACTAATCCACCCAAGTTGAAACCACTGAAACCCTTGAAGAATATCGTGGATGGGCAATTGAGGAAGCCCGTTAATCCGAACATCCCCCTTGTCGATCCACGAAACGATCTACTTAAAGCAATTAGGGATGGTAATTATCCAATCATTCGGTTAATCGAAATTAACTCTTTGCTATATTAACGTTTGGCTGTACGCTTATGAACTGTTTAAGTTCATAATTTTATCAAAATTTTTTCTACGTTTTTTTTTCTCTCTCTCTCTCTTTCAGGAATAAAATTACGTAAAGTGGAGAAGATCGAACAGAAGGAAGTGGAACGCGTGAACGCATTGAACGACGTCGCATCCATATTGGCACGACGCGTTGCCGTCGAGTTCAGTGACAGTGATTCAGCATCGGAGAGCGAATGCGACAGCGAAGGATGGGGCGAACAGGAAACGAATCTCGCGTGACCCAGCTCACTTCCATCTACCGCCACTGCCTCTTAGAAGAGAAACGGCTGACGATTTCCTTTCGTTTCATTCGCTCTCAACGAAAACTCCATTTCTGTTATTCGTCGCACAAGTCACACACGCTTTGTCTGCGCACGGGCGTCGAATAGGAATAATTTGATTCGATGTCGGGTGTATGATTGAAGAAGCATCGGATTTGAAAGTAGAAACACAAGACCAGCGGGATTTCGTTGGTCGATTGTTTATGTTGAGTTCTGTTAACACAGAAATCGTGTAAACGCGAATTATTATACGTAATATTCATTAAAAGTAATAGTATAACTACGATTATTTTTATTACGCACCGTTTCATTACCTTTGACCAGGGTTATTTTCTTTTCTTTTGTTGCGAGAAAATGTTTAATAGCTTTCTTTCTCTCTCTCTTTTTTTGTATAAACTAGATTAGAAGGAAATTTTTTTTCGTGTCAATTGCAAGCTCAATTAAATACTTTGCATGTATTTATGTGACGACTACGACGTGAAAAATATTTAGCTTTTCTCAAACGATTCTAGGCATCACCAGCGAGAGACTTTTTATTTATTAAAGAGGAGAGTATATAAAGTGTGAATACAGCAAAAGTCTAAGAATTCGTGCGTAAATTTAGAATATTTTTGTGGAGCTATATAAATACACTTTTCCTTTACCTGCAGACGCTTCCACTTTGTTTTACTGTTGCAAATAAAAAGTATCAAAGTTTACGGAGTATGTAACAATCGCCTATTTTGTTTTTTTTTTCTTTTTTTTTTTCGATTCTCCGATTCAACGAACGTAAAGCAGATTACTTAGAGTAGTGAAAGGGAAAAAGGGCGAGTAAGAAGAAGGTGTACGCACACGAAGTCACGCGTCGATTTCCTATTGTTGCTCGATATCGATCGATAGAAGTGATTTCTTTTCGACACATTCCATGATAATACCATGTAATGGAACAAATTTGATCTTTTTCATTTCAGTGGTCCATTTCTTAAGACAAGACGACTGCTCTGTACACGTTATGATCCATTGCACGATGAGAGTGCGTATTGTATGTAAACTAAAACCAAACTGCAGAGCTAATATTTTTGTTCCCCTTTTTGTGTATAAGTCTGTAAGATACCTGTGTCTTAAGTGTTTTTCGTATGCTTATCTATTAGGTAGGTACATATGTATATGCGCTCTCTGTCACAACGAGAATGATCCACAGGAGCATTTCCCAATCTTTTCTATGTTTTCAAATGATCTTCCACATCGTCGCGACTACGACAAAACGCGGTATCGTGAGGAATGGAATGCCCGTTTTTATCAGCGAAGTGTCGAAAACCAAAATACTCTATTTACTTGTAACGTGTAAGGACAATGTAATTACCGAATGAGTGAGAGGATTCATATTTTTTAGCATTTAGCGGAAGAATATACTACTGTTGCAATGAAGATTACAGTTGCCAATTTTAAGCGTGAAAGAAACAAAAGAAAAAAGAAAAATGATTGTGATTTATTTTGCATCGATGTTGGTGAAAATATGACGACTATTGGTAAGATA